AACATTCAAGGCCAGGCTGGGCAGGGCTCTGAGCAGCCTGGTCCAGCTGAAGATGTCCCTGTTCACTGCAGGGGGGCTGGGCTAGAGGACCTCTAAAGGTCCCTTCCAACCCAAAGCATTCTACGATTCTAGGGTGACTAATGAAGAAAATTCACAGAGAATATTGAATATGCTTGTGAGAGCAGTGAGAAACAGGATTCGATTCCCAGGGCAGGACCTGCCTTAGGGATTCTGCTGGTTCTCAATTACTGACTGAAGCTCTAGTTGCGGGTCTGCAGAGCCCTGCCTCTGATCATGCAACATGTGGGGTCTCACCATGTGTTGAAGATGTTGTACAGACAGGATGAAGAGAGAGAGGCTGGTCTTTGAGCTGAAGAGGCCTGGTTTTAAAGATTAGTTGCTGTCCAGATACCCTGTTGGTAAATATTTCTGGAGAAAGATTTCTTACTTATTGAGTGTTAACACCTTAAGCCATGGCAAACTGAAGGTTTTCCTGAGGTAAGAAAATGTCTCTCATAAGATGAGCCGTGTTTAAAACCCTCTAGCGGATGGCATGGTAAGCAAAAAATAAAGAAGAAAAGTTAAAATTATCTAAGAGGGATAAAAAAAGGGGAAAAATAATATGCCCAGAAGCCAGGGTTTCACTCCTGAAAATCAACAAGTAAGGGGTGAGGAAAAGAAACAGCTAACTAGGAGAACATAGTAAAAATAGTAAATAGTACAAAGAAAAGATAGAAAGAGGACAAAGGCTACTGAAGGTTCAATGTGAATTAAAAATTGTTTTCACTAACATAAAAGGTACTCCAGCTTAGCAAACAGAGTCATGCAGCATTCTCTTTCTTTATACAGATGCAGAAGGAAAAAAAGGGAAATGACATCTTGCTATGATTGAATAAAAATTTTGGTCTGAATGCCTGCAATATAAATATTCATTAAAGGAACATACTCAAAAGGAGAAATATTCTTGTCCCCAAATGGAGGTGTCAGAGACCAGGGCCAAGAACAGACCCCATCGGTTAGGTTTCTTATGTGGTACTATGACTCTGTGTACAGGGAACAGCTGAGTGAAAGGAAAAACAAGATTGGTCAATAGATATGAACAAAATGAGGAGTTTACATGCACAAGAGAACTATTTATCCGTCGTCTAACAATGGTACAGCTGCACAGTGCTATCAGTTGCGTTTTGTGTATGCTGGAATGCTACGCCAACATATACAAACCCAGGCAGTACTGGAGTACTAATGTATCTGCAATATTGCTGAAAAAAAAAAAAAAATAGGTAAGCACTTCTCCAGAGCAGATACAGTCAGAAAGCAAGAAATACAGGGAAGAATGGCTAGGAAACTAAAACAGCTGTTGCTGTTGTCCAGAGAGTTTCTGTTGCCACAGTGCTAAGAAAAGCTGTCAGAAGACAGATCCTTTTATGAACTTAGAGCAGACTGGGAATAGGTAGGAAGAAGAAAAAAAAAAAATCATTTACTGGCAATTTTGTATGTTGTATGAAGACAGAATGATGTGTTTTCATGCTTCAGGGAGAAAGGAAAGGACTATCACTCAAAGCAGGAATAGATATTTCATCCTTTCATCTCTACTTCTTTTAAAGGTCAAAAAATTTCTCAAACTGAACAACACATCAAATAAACTATGAAAGGATTGAGAATTTGTATGGAGACACATAACAGCTATTGCTGACATACTGATGTAAAGATCTTTTCATTTTATATTAAAACCCAGGAAAACAGAATTCCTGTTGTTTAATAGGTATTGGTTCTGCAGGCATGTCCTACTTACACATAGTATCCAAGATCACAGAAACACAGTTCTGTTCAGGTTGAAAAGGCCTCCAGAAGTCATCCAGTCCAACACCCTGCTCATAGCAGATCCAGTTAGATCCAGCTGTTGACTAATCCAGTCCAGTTACTAATCGCTCCAAGAATGTACATCTAACCACATACATGACAAAACTCTACACTTAGCTTTTCTAAATTATGCTTTTCAGTATCATTTAAAGTACTGGAGGTTTTAATTCCATCACAGCATTCTTTGTCTATATCATACTAGGAGAAAGGTTAAGAATGTTTGGTCTTGAGAGTCATAAGGGCAGGAGAGTAATCCTCTGCTTGAGGGCTGGTAAGTGAAAAATCTTAGAGGCAGAAATGTATAAGTGCTAATCAGGTCAAAGACCATTCATCCAAATGTGCATAACTTTACCATCAAAAGCAAAAGCAGCTTTAGTCTAAAGGAAATTAAACCCTACCACAACACTCAGTCGCCGCTCTCAGAGTGAGTGAAGTCTTGTTTCATCTACAACTTAAAGGTTGATTCTCAAACACACACATCATCTACAGAAACCGAAAAGGGAAGGACTGCAGAGAAGCTGGTTGCCAGGGGAGTGCTGTGAAACCAGGCCTGCTGGCTGTGACTCACAGGCAGCTACTAAAATTTATCTGCGTGTCAGCAGGCCTCGCTGTACACAGGTGTACAAACACCACGATGCTGTTTGGAGGGAAGAACAAAAGACTGAAGTAACAGGTCCTGCTCATCAGTGTTTAACTTACTTCTAAAAAATTCTGAATGACCTATTCTGGGCTTGCTGTTGCAGAGTAAACTAGCGCATTTTCCCTCCTTGTAATTTCCAGCATCGCATGCCTTTTTGATGACTAGTGACTCACAAGTTCGTGACAGAAACTCCTCTCAAGTGAAAACAGCTCGTTTAGGGCTCATCCCTATGTATGCATGCTTCACGCAGAACCACATTCCTTTTACAGAAAAGCCGTTTACATAATTACGGTTACATACCCTTGAAAGTATCTCTCTAACTGTGCTATACGTTAGGCAAGCCATATAACAAATGTGGGAGCATTCAATGGATATTCTTCAATACTTTTTTTCCCTCCTTAACTGAGCTCTTTCTGTTCTGGTATTGCTTCATCCTGACCTCCTCCTGAGCAGCTGTACACACAATGTCAGGCATAAGCTCTGTAGACCAAGAAAACACAGCACAGGCAGCTGAATCTCCATAGATAGGTACTGAGACCGTAACGTTGAGTTAGAAGTTGGTTTTTCAATTTCAAAGAACACCAAGTGATTTGTCGGATATTTTTTTAAGGTCGAACGAAACTTCCAAATGAAAACATCAAATGTAAATTTGGCATGCCACCTACAAAAGGAAATTCCGCTAGATGAAGTATATAATCAAACAACAATTTTTAAACACAGCAAACTAAAATAAATGAATACAATATTAATAAGTGACTTGGAAGGGGAGGCTAGTACACAAGTGGCTAGTCTGAGAAGGGCTTTTGGCAGAACAAAGCAAGACCACAGATGGTGATCATATACTGCATGCTAATCTGACATGCTCTTGGTTCACTCAAAAGAATTTTAACAGTTATTTTCCTTGCTGTTGAAGCAGCTGTACTAATAATGTTCATATTTATGTGCTGTAAGCATTCCTGTCTCAACTGCATAATTCAGTGTCCACAATTAGAGTCTTCAAACTAATTGCACCCTAACAGCCTTGAAAGGCTGCTGAAACAGAGTCACCATACAGTATACCATCAACCCAATAACTAGATCAATCTAATCAATAAAACAGGCTACAGCACCTATGACCCTAAGATACTGATGGGGCTGACAGGCTTTTTGCATTGTAGATGTATATACATGCACATTTTAATATTCAATGTGTTGGTAGTCTTACTAATGTCCTGGTGGTTAAAAAGCACCTGTAGTACTGGAAATTCACAATGCTATCACGCTGGTTCATCTGACAACTTTTTAAAGTTGCTGTAACTTAAAGAAGAAAACAACCCAGAAACCAGCCTTTTCAGAAAAACTCCTTCAGAGTTCTAGCGCTTGAGAAGTATTCACTCAAGAGCACTGCGGGAAAAATTGTTGACAGAAGGGAGAAGAAGGAAGAAAAATCTTTAGCTGTTTGAAATACTATGTAATAATTCTGTTTCTGTGTTTCTTATTTCAAAAGGCAACTACTTTTTTTCCTGAATGACCACAACATGACCAAGGGTTTAAGTCAAGAGAATTAAGCAACCAGTGATATATTCCTCATTATGCCATATTCCCTACTCAAGAATTGCTCTACGGTTAGCAATTACCGACTTCATTAACTACCAGATATCTTTTTCTGTCATGTTCCACTGGTAACAGAAATATATGGCTGAACAGTTTTAAGACATACTGCTGGAAAAACTTCTAGCTTTCTTTCACAGAAGTCACTAGCCACTAGCCACGTTAAGGAGTACATTCAATGCTCAGCCACAATTTTCTACCAAGAATTTGAAAAGGTGTTCCTACTTCAACCATAAAAACTGTGACTGTAAAATGCATTCGTTCCAAATACATCTATTAGGACAACGTACTTACTTAGGCTACTTAGTTGTCTGATTATATTTGCCAAGGAAATATTGGTGACGCATTCCAATTCATTCTTGACACCTCGGGGCAGAGCTGTGTGGCACAGGTGCCTGGGGTCTATGTTCCTTTTTACCAGTGGCATTCTGAAACGTATCAGAGGACCAGCAAACCTGTAAAGAAAGGAGACAAAGTACTATTATAAGTTTAATTACATTTTAAATTCAGATTTTGTCTAAAGTTAAATTGACTAATCCTAACCAGATAAATATACCTCCATAGTACTGGTGGCATTCATTGCTCTGTGAGTACATGATCTTTTCTTCTTTGCTCAGTGAAAGACTATTTCATTCTCTGTCTTTAAATCTTTACCTGACTCAGCTGCCAGTGAAGTGACAAATAATTTTTTACAGTTCATGCTTTTTCCTTTTTTCCCCCTGAAAAAAAAGACAGGAGAATCTTCGCGGTACAAAAACATTCAAGAACGATTTCCTTCTTGATGGACTACTTCCTTATTCAGGCCAGGCAAAGTCCAACAACAAATTCCCTTTGTTATGAGGTCAAACTAGCTGCCTGTTCCACCTGAAAGGTAGATATGATCCATCCATTATGTAATATCATGTTACTAGCAGGAGTCACCCTTCTAAACATCACTTCTGAATCATATCTAATCAAGGTAAGAAAAGAGAAGATGTTTCTCTTCCACCTACACTGCTACTTGCAATAAATTCAGCTAGGAACACATCTTCTGAATGCAAAATTCTCCTCAATAAACTTGTAGGGCAAAGTCCTCCACGACTCAGAAATCCTACCCCTCCACACCTTTCCAAATCCACAAACGTTACATTAATCAAATCATTAATTTACTAGCTCTGCAGACAGCGTAAGAATCATCTCAGGCTGTGAATCCCAGGCTTACAATTTTCTGCACCCACGGCACTGATTGGAAGGAGTCTCCCCAGGGGGCAGGTTATGCCTCTCATCTTATTAGTGCTGCTTATTAAGACTAAAACTTTTCTTCATGAAAAATGGATTCTCTAAAACTTTGTAATTTTTCCACCATCTGTCATGTAAAATTGAATGACAAATGCAAAACTCCCATGTGATACGCAGAGAATGGATACACTTGGTATTGGTACAGCTTAGTCTCCCTTCCCACTGCAGAAGAGACGACACGTTCTGCAGCCTGCAAGGCAGACAAGTTTTCCACAACACAACCTGCAGTCCTAGTCCCTCAACGAGACAGCCTGCCACAGCTTCATCTGTCGTGTGCTTAGAAGCTTTGTCCCAGAATGTTCCCAGAATGCAGCTAGGGCTTCGTGTTGTGCTACAGAATGCATCTTCCCGACAGTATATATTCAGCCTCTGTTATCCTTACTTGGTCAAAACAGAGAGATTTTTTAGGTAAGAATAACACATAGCCATGGTGGCAGAGATGAAACTCTGCTGACCTAGAACGGCATAGGGAATTAAAAGAGTCAAAGACAACTGTAATGGAGTATTTTCCTCTCACAGACTGCTTAGATTTCTCCTTGCTACGTTTTGTGGGAGTATATTCTTTCACTGAAGACAGGGCTTGTAGCTGAGGATCATTCAGTCTACCTGAGAAACACCTCTGTTTCCAGGATCTCATTAGACTTCATTCATTGCATTTTAACACCATGTCTACTGCCCTTATTTTCTTGAGAGAACAAATAAAAAATATTTTGCGCTTTTGAGGTATAAAAATGAATGAAAATAATTCTTCTAGTCACTGGCTTAAGGGAAAGATTTTACAGTTCTTAAAATTATGTAATTTAGTTTCTCAGTATTAACAGTAAAAATTATGGAACTGTGCATGGACTAGCGGCAAGTTATAAGAACAGATTTTTATTTTCTAGGAATATCCCAAATCTTTCTAGTCCCTAAATACCCGAGTATTACAAAGCTAGGTGCTACTTACAAGCTAAATGAAATAAGAAGTGCAAAACTGAACACTGTCTTAGATAGAAGCAATGACAAAGCATTGATAATTGAAGTGAGATTTTATACCTGTTGGTGCCAGACACAGGTGTAGCATGAAGCAAGGGAGATATATGGGCCCTACCAGCAGAGCTTCTGCTGTCTTAGGAGCCGGCAGCCCCTCTCCCCCAGGGACAAGACCCTGAAGAAACCCTTAACTACAGGTTCGTTATCATGGTTCCCCAACAGAAAATAAAGAAACCATTCTGTCACTGTCAAAGAAACACAACAAATGATACCTGAGCAATGTTCTACAGAAGCAATTAAATATTATTTGCAGAGTTAAGCCCTTTCTTGATTACTGCTTTAGTGATACTGTTGTATAAACAGCACAGTAGGCAAGTCTTCTAAAAAGAGGTCCAAACAAATATGTGAAAAAAAGGTTTTTGCCAAAAAAGCAAAAAACTAGAAATAGTCCTTATTTCTATCTGTCTAATATAGATCTGCATTACAAAGGTAGGAAAAATCTGTAAATAACAAGCATAAAAGCAGCTGATGGCTAGTAGACTTTTTCTTTTGTTAAGTCTTTATAATCAAGATGTTAACAAGCGATGATATTGCTCTCCCTCCTTGATTTTATATCATTCATGAAAGAACTTGCCAAATTTATAGCATGTATAGATCGTAAAGCTTCAGATAAGTGACAGATTCTTTACAAAATTGTGCATAACAGCAATAATCACACACACACACAAATTTAAAACTAATTCCAGCCAACTGCTAGCTAGATTTCAAGTAACAGCATTTGAGCGTGTACTGCCCTTTACCTATCTGATTTGTCTCTAGGATAGGGCGTTCAAAAAAATAGCTGAAAAGATGCAGTATTAGCCCAAACATATTCTACAACAGGCATAAAAAGAAGCTGCACAAGTAGAGCCAGAACTCCCTGCACCTCAAAATGTACAACTCTGAACCTGAATACGAGTCCTCTGAAGACAATGGAAATTTTCTTGCTTTGAGCTCTCCAGAATTTGCAGCAAATCTACTCCTTGACCTTTTTTCCTCCCCCAAACCCCACAAATACCCTTTTCTAATATCTGAAAAAAGAAGTTGTGGCTACCCAAAGATACAGTATAACAAGAAAGGATAGCAAAGGGAACAGTAAGTATGGTAAAAGGTATAGTTTTAAAACAGGAATAAATTTGGAAGGGACACAAATATCCCAAGATATAACTGACACCTTCCAAATTATGCATCATGTTTGAAAACTATGCAAAGTCTGAACAAAGAATATTTCCCGGTTTCCCAGAGAAACAAGAGTAAGGAGGCAACCAAGGAAAATACCACTCAAACATGCTTAAAACAAAGGAAAAATTCCATACAATGTTTAACAAATTGTGTAGCTCATTGCCATAGGATGCTGTCTACAGCAAAAATACCTGCTGGTAACTTGTCCACCATGGACCCCATATTCTTTACAGTTTGTTGCAACCACTGGAAGGTCGTGAGATTCCTCCCCAGTTGTATTCAGCGATCCCAGAACAGGGAGCCCTCGCTCATGAAATGGGCGTGCAACAGCAAACTGAACTTTACTGTACCCGAACAACTTCTTCAGCCCTACGAAAGATGTCTTTCCTAACGCAGTTCTTCTCAAGAAAGCTGAAAAAAATCTGAAAGCACTATATTTATTATGCAGCTTTAGAGCTGTGAAGGAGGGGGAAAAAAAAAAAAAAAGGGGCTTTGTTACGATCTAGTATATCCTCCCGGGAGGACGCGGAGGCTGAGGGGAAGGTTACGTGACCCCTCCTGCCAGGCTGCCAGCTCCCAGCTGGTCCCGCAGGTCTCAGGGCTCGCCCTCCCCTCGGCCCCGCTGCTCCCCAGCTCGGAACGCAGCCAAGGGAAGGTAACCCTCAAACACAGGTCTCTGCTTCCCCACCGTCCCTTTGAGGCCATCCGTAAGAGGCGGCACCGGTTTACACTCGAGTTTTAGCCTGTCGTGATCTCAAACCGAAACAAAGAGCCACTGTTGAAGACTCCCCTCCCTCGCTCCCTGTGCGCCCTTGGAAGCGCTCTGAACCCACTTGAGAAGCCAGCTCTAATCTTCTTCGCAAACCCCTCTGTTACTTCAGCTGCACTCCGGCTGGCACAACCTCAGCCCCACACGTCCGCTGCCAGTATGAGTACGGAATATGAACGTGTGTATGTACGGAGTATCTAGTGTTTTTATTAATCTATCATGCTTTGGTACACAATTTTTCAGGAATTAGGTAAAACGCTCCAGCTGCTTTTTCAATTAATCCCTATTATTCAAAAAGCCTGCAGAACAATGGCTGTGAGGGGTCTTAGGGGCGACGCTCCTCTGCCTCCGCCACCCAGCACTCCCGCAACGCTTGGCCTTGCCCCGCGGCACCCACCACGGTGACCTCACCCCACGGCACCCACCACGGCAACCTCGCCCCACTGCACCCACCATGGCGGCCTCGCCCCGTGGCACCCACTGCAGAGGCCTCATCCCACACCACAGCGGGGAGCCACCATCGCCTTCCCGTCAACGCACCCCTGTGGAAACATCTCGGAAGCACGAGAAGCGTGGAGAAATGTTACGCTACTAGACGCTCGTGAAAAATTTGAACTGTCAGTTGTCCCAGCAATGGTTCAGGTTTTCTAGCAAATACAGTAAGGCAAGCAGGAA